CAGAGCTGGAAGAGACTAAACAACAAGAAAAAGAAGAAGTAATCCTGGGAAGTAACAACCAAAAGTTGACATCTGTGGAATACAAGCAAGGAGACGCTGGGAACATATTCACCACAAGTCCTGCGAGAGATACAGAAGAAGAAGGAGGAGGCCCCAAGACAAAATGGAGTACAGGAATTTAAAATAAAGAAATATGATTGGGGTCTCCGTTTGGACTTAGACTTGGAAGAGATAGACTTTGTGGAAATACTTCAGCAGCCACCTTTGAATCTTCTTGTTGGAAGAGGACATATTTTGATGGTGAAAGAACTTTTCCCAGATCTGACGACTGCTGTAAAGGACTACCAACAGGACAGGCGGAGAGGAACGGAAATAGATTTGAAAGCCTCGGACGTGAGGAACCCAGGCTGAGAACTTCGAATTTGGATTTTTATTGGGAAGGGACAAAAACCGGGGATGGGAGGGAGGGAAGAAGAGACTCTTAAAAACTCTTAAGACTTTTAGGTTTGGTTAAGATGACTCTTAATTAAGATAAAATGAAAATCGATGGAAGAGAACTTAAGTCCAACTTATGAAAACTAATTTTTATTATTAAAAAAGGAAATAAGATGAACAAGATTGTTAAGAGGAGAAATATCAACTTGCTGACATAATCTTGAAACAGGGATGCATTAGGGGGGGTGGGGGGAAGTCAGGGAACAAGGTTATGAAATGGGGATTTGCTGACTTTATATATGTTTTTGTCTTTGTTTTTTCTTTGTGTATGTTTTGTCTTTATAAAAGCAGAAAACCAAATAAAAAATTTTATTAAAAAAAAAAAAAAAAAATATTTTACACTGAAACCATACAACTTTCTGTCGCATCCTCCGTGCTAAATTCTGGCCCCAACACTAAATGACGCAAATTGTACGTTTTGCATACTTTAGTATCGGGATCCAGGCAATATTAGTCACACTTTGGTTCCATGCAAATGACAACGTACTTGTCCCCCTGGGACTAAAGTGTGCCTCTCCTCATGGCGCAATTCTATACATGCCTGTAGGCGAGTTCATTTCCAGTCAGTTTAGTGGGGACCAATTCCCAGGTCAATGGGTTCCTAAGGAAATGTCTTAGGAGGAAATTTCCTGGGAGAAAAGGTTGCAGCCTTGCGAGGCTTATTAGTTTAGAGGAAATGAGAGCAAAAGGCGACATGATGCGACGTTTATAAAATTATACGTGGCATGGAGAAAGTGAATGGAGAAAATGTGTCCTGCCTCTCTCATAACACCAGAACTTCCAATGACGCTGAAGGCTGGAAGATTCAGGACAGATGAAATACAGTGGTACCTCAGGTTACATACGCTTCAGGTTACAGACTCCACTAACCCAGAAATAGTACCTCAGGTTAAGAAATTTGCTTCAGGATGAGAACAGAAATCGTGCTCTGGTGGCGCGGAGGCAGCGGGAGGCCCCATTACCTAAGGTGGTGCTTCAGGTTAAGAACAGTTTCAGGTTAAGAAAGGACCTCCGGAACGAATAAAGTACTTAACCTGAGGTACCACTGTAAAGTACTTCTTCACACATTTAAACTATGAAACTCACTTCTAAAAGTGGCAGGGATGGCCACCAATTTGAAAGGCTTTGAAGGAGGATTAGAGCCATGGGTAGGCAAACTAAGGCCCAGAGGGCCGGATCCTAAATCTGGCGCATGGATGGTCCGAGAATCAGCGTGTTTTTACATGAGTAGAATGTGTGCTTTTATTTAAAATACAGCTCTGGGTTATCTGTGGGACATAGGAATTCGTTCATTATTATTATTTTTCCAAAATATAGTCCGGCCCCCACAAGGTCTGAGGGACAGTGGGCCGGCCCCCTGCTGAAAAAGTTTGCTGATCCCTGGATTAGACAAATGCATGCACAAGGCTATCGATGGCCACTCAGCTATGATGGCTTTGCTCTGCCTCCATAGTTGGAGATATTAATACTTCTGAAACTAATAGTGGAAGGGAGGGGAGCCCTGTTTGCAGGTTTCCCACTGGGACATCTGGTTAGCCACTGAGAGAACAGGAAACTGGACTAGATTGGGCCACTGACCTAACCCACCACAGTTGTTCTTACATTCTTAGCACTGCGGTCTTTATCTAGATCAGTTGGCTGCCCGTCAGACATTGTTAGGCTACAGCTCCCATCAGCCCCAGTCAGTGCCCAGGGACAATGAGATCTATAGCCCAGCAACATTTGAAGAACCAGTTTCCTCATCCCTGGTTCAAAAGAACAGCTGGAAGCAGAGTTGCCATATTGCAACCCAGATATATTCTCTCCCTCTCTTTAGCAGCTCTGCTACCAAAGAAATGGAGCTGTCTCTGAATCAGCTGTTTCTCCCCCTGGTCCACCACCCACCTACCCAAAAAAATAAGTTGCTGTTGCTAGATTTCAGTGGATTTCATTGTAATGAAATGAGAAATGAGAAACGCAATGAGATGTTTGCATACTAAGCAGCATATATACAGTACATAGGGCAGTAGCCAAAGTCTGCACCTGATATTTTTTTTTATGTCTTGCAGCAGGGGTTGCCAAGGTGGTGCCCTCCAGCTGTTTTGGACTACAACCCTTTATCAGCCTCTGCCAGCATGGTCAGTGGTCAGTGATGATGGGTTATTTTTTTATCTGTGACACATGTTGGCTACCTCTGCCCTAGAGAGTGATCTGAATTAGCCTATTTGTTTTACTTTCATTTGGGTAAACCAAGTTAAACAGCATGGAAACCACCAGGATTGCCTAATATTGAATTTGACATTGGTGTACTTTCCTAATGAACTTATGAAAGAGAAAATAAATGGTCGTTCTTGACAACCATTCAGTGCAGACATTCTGCTCTGAAACAAAAAGTGGAAGGCGTTTAAGGAAACTGGTGTGGCTGCGTAAGGAACTTACAGATGAGCTGAGATGTAAGAGAAATGGAAGCAATGAGAAATCAAGAGGTTGCCAATGGTTGCAGGGAGAAGGTCATGTGCCCTTCCTGCTTCCTAACCCATAAAGCCAATTTCTCACCTGCTTCTCTCTCTGAACCTCTGCCCCCACCCCCAGCCACCACTGCAAGATAACCCCTTAAATTTGTCTTCCAGAGGTTGGGACAACCAGAGATTTGAATCAAACTTCACCCAGGCTTTGGCCATAAGATCCGACTTTCCCATAGCAAAGCCCAGCCCTGGAATGTGGGGGAAGCAGTGCTTTAGAGCTCATGCAGAGTGCTTCCCCACAACCACAAGGGCAAAGGCAGTCTCCACGCTTCTAAACCACAGGGGTTGAGATGAGACAACATTTGAAGTGCAGATGGCTGGAGGAACATGAGTCATGACGGAAACTAGGCTGTAAAGTATTTCATCTTCAAGCGATGTTATGTCCAGGTTTTTCCCAAGTTAGATCTGACGTTTTATAAACCCACTCCTGACTTTCCAGATGCAGTGTCTGAAAAAAAGCCACTTCCTTTCCTCCTCAGAAAGGCACTAGTGTTCTTGATCATGACCTGCTCACCCTTCCCTCTAGTTATTAATAGTGTAAAGTATGAAGATACCATTCAATCATTCCTGAGCCTTGAAATCAGTGGAATTAAGTAAACTGAGCGCTATCTCAGCCCTTCTTTCCCTCATCCCCCAGAAATCTGGAGGGAAATCATTCTAGCCTACTTTAAAGGGTTGTTGTTAAGGGTTTGAGCATTGGACGCGGACCAGGGACGGCCAGGTTCAAATCCTCCCACTCAGCCACAAAGCTCACAGGTGGGAAGGGTTACCTTGAGCTCAGTCACTATCTCGCAGCCTAACCTACCTGGTCAGGGTTGTTGTGAAAATAGAATTGGGAAGAGGAGACCTACCCGAGAAGTTTGTAGGCTGGGTGAGGCAAAGACAGGAAAGCAAGTGTGTGAGTATGTGTTTGAGAGAGATGGAGTACTTTTTTTGAAGTGAGGGAAAACTGCGCAAATCTCCCTAAGCATTCCCATTAAAACACTATGCAAACTATCAGCTCCCACTTGATCCCATTGCTCAGTACAACCCCCTATTCCAGACCCCCAACTGGACCCCACACCTCCAGGCTCTCCCTCATGTATACACAAAAGACCCAATCCCCTTCCGCTCCTCTGTCCCAAGAGCTTCAGGCCACAACATCCTTGGGATCCAGGTGTCCCAAATGCCATAACCATAGTCTGAGCTTCGGTCTTCCCCGCCAGACCCCCACCCTGCCAACTCCTAGGGACGTGGTCCCTTTGATCCCTCCAATAAAATATTTGAGGGGCCCACCCAGCCCCAAGTTGATGGGCATTGCCATTAAAATGGTGTGTGTGCTGTGTCTTGTTATCTATTATATGTGGTGGGGCTTGCTTGCCACCCCCACCCCCAAAATTTTATTCAAGTTGGCACCTCTGCACCTACCACCACAGACAGTGGGGGCATCATTAGAATCCACAACCCTAAATGTCAGGAGAGGAAGGAAGGAAAAATATGGAAAGACCCTCAATGCAGATTGGGGGGAATGGAGGGAGAAAGGGGGATGCAATCCAACCTCCAGTTGACCGCTAGGAGACACGAGGCTGGCAGATCAGGGACTCCCCTGCTTCGGCGTTACCCGTCTTGAACGAGTCCCTCAGCTTATTTCGACAATATGGGACGGGGGGGGGGGTTAACACTAAAACCGCCCTACCTTTCGGGGCCGTCGCTAAGAGAGTAGGACCCTGGGAGGAGGGAGAGAGAAAATGAAAAGCCCTACACATAAAGATGCGAGGTAGAAAACGCGGCATGGTATTAAATTTCTGGCTTCAGAGGGGGGCAGGGTGCTGAAAAGATGGGGGATCGCGCCCCACCTCGCCTGACCCTTTGCAAAGCAACCGATCCAAGGAGAGCCACGTGCAGGCGCGATCTCCCCGGTTTTACTCCATAATCCACATATTATATATATTGCAATATATGTGTGTGTGTGCGCATATATGTGTATAATACCACATATAGCGCAACCGGCATCATTCTGACCTTTCATCTCCGCTTCTCTCCATATCGGATTCTGGCTGATGGGGGCTTCGGTGCTTTCCTCGTCCGGACCCTCCGCTCTTTCTTCTCCCGGGAGAACTGCGCTTCTCCCTGCAAGAGGCGGCCGTTTTACCGGCCCCTGGGGAGAGCGACGGTGTCGTCACGGGCACGCCGGCCAATGGGACGCCAGCCTCTACCGAGGGCCCGCCCGCTCGCGCGCCCGCCGGCCGGCCGGCCACAAAGGTTGCCCCTGGCAACGCCGGGGCTCCGGCGCTCGTCACGGCCCTGGACCGCTCTCGCCCTGCCCACCCGAGGAGGCAGCATCAGCACCAGCATCCTCCTCCCCGGCCGGCTTCCCCTCCAGGACGGAGGAGGAGGAGGAAGGGGCAGGCGGGGCGAAGGGGGCCCCGGGGGTATTGGGGGGGGGGCGATCGAGCGACCAGGGAGAGGAGGAAGCGGCTTCCACCGACAAAGCTCCTCGGGACACGAGGGTGGAGGGTGCTGAATGCACACAGAGCAGAAGGAATACACGCGTACACCTGAGCCTGAACGTTAGGAGGACTCGTCGCGGGGGAATTCTCCTGGCAACGTGTTCATTCCCCTTGCTAGGTTGTTGGTTTGTTAGTACTGTAATCAGCGCTTTCTTCTAAAAAAAATGTTTAGGGGATACTCTCATTTTGACTCAAGAAAATCACCATTTTATAGTTCAGATCGGGAAAAATAAATGCAGTAAATGGACAAAAGTACAAAGATTCAGAAAATGTTTAGGGGTATGCGTACCGCTGCGTTGTCGTCGCCCCCCCCCAAAAAGCATTATTATTATTATTATTCCGCTATCTTTTCTCTTGTTCCATGCTTGGGTCCACCTCAGGTGCCCAAATATCTTGGGCCTGCCCTTCTAGTACCCACTGATAGCTCTCTCCTCCATTTATGCCCCACCTTTCCTCCAAGAAGATCAAGATGGCATGCATGCTTCTTCCTCTCTCTCATTTTATTATCCTCACGACAATCCTGTGAGGTACGTTAGGCTAACTGACTGTTCCAAGGTCACCCAGCGACCTTCATGGCAGAACAGGAATTTGAATCGTCTCCCAGACGGTGATTTTAGGTTTGTGTGTGGTTTGTGTGTGTGTGAACTTTCTTTTTGCTGTCCAAGTTATTATCTTGTGATTGGCTGTGGTTTTTCAATAATCATATTTCATTGTTTGTGTAAACTGTACAGACAATTTGGTTGGATGTGTGGTATACATATAAGAATATTATTACTATTTATTATACAAACTGGAGGAATAATAGATGTTAACAACAGTTTGGATCCACCCAGACTTCATATTCCTCAGACTTCAAACAAACTTTCTGTTGCTATTTTCCTCCTGTTTCTCTTCTGTTCTATCACATCCAAACCTTCCATCACTTAAAAATTTCCACTCAGATTTCATTAAGATCAAAAGCGCTGATAATTTGTGTATACAAATATTTTCAAGCCACTCATGGAGGCTGAAACCTTGGCAAACTTCCAGCCTTGGCTTTCTTGAAATGGATAAATATTTCTCCATCCTCTTAGGAATGTATATACAGAAAAACCAATTTGTACATGTCCCTTTTCCATTTTGATACTCAAAACTGAAACATTTCTAGTAACCCTCTTTTCATTTGTAACGTGTTCAGCCTAATCACTGAGATGTTTGTGGCTCTTATTCATACTTAGTTTCTGTTTCCTGTGGCAGAAAAATAACTGGAGGTTTCTGGACTTGGGGGAAATACAGTTTTATTTACACAAACACACACATATATATACAAGCTGAGCCTAAGATTGGGTTTTACTAACTCTAGTATATAATCTCCTACAAAATATAACTAAAACTACAAGTACTGATTAGTTCAACACATTAGCGAACATTTCACAATGTTCCCAACAAGATGTACGGATTTGTATTTACTTGCACTTTATTTACACTAGCATGTGATAAAAACACTCAGTTTTTCATCAATAATATTGTAAGACTGTACCCTCTCTCTTTTGGTCAATTTGACCATGCAAACTATATCCCGTGCTATAGTTAGGCAGATGTCCAGTGTTGGAGTCCTTATCAGCCCCTCGGTTATAACAAATAGTTATTCGTCAATAAATGTTGAACCATTCCTCTATCATCTGTCAGTAGTACCAAATCTTGAACTGTGGAACAGCCTCCACAGAAAAGTTCTCACAGTGCTGTCTTTATGGTATTTTCAGTGCCAGGTGAAACACTTGATATAGTTCTATCCAGAGCATTGTAGGAAATTTAGATGGATGCTAAGAGACTTGGCTGTCCAATTTGAAAGGCCCAGGCTTTGGGCCTCAGCTGCCCTAGGATGCTAGGTGTTTAAAAAATAAAAGTTACAAATAGAGCAGTTGGAGTGAAAGGGTCACCTCTTAGCTCAGCTTTAGGCATGGAGAGTCCATAATGACTAGAACGATGCATGATCCTACTTTCTGTTTTACCTCTGTGTATGTTCAAGAGTGTGGGTGGTGCTGTGGGTTAAACCACAGAGCCTAGGACTTGCCAATCAGAAGGTCGGTGGTTCGAATCCTGTGACGGGGTGAGCTCCCGTTGCTCGGTCCCTACTCCTGCCAACCTAGCAGTTCGAAAGCACATCAAAGTGCAAGTAAATAAATAGGCACCGCTCCGGTGGGAAGGTAAACGGTGTTTCCGTGCGCTGCTCTGGTTTGCCAGAAGCGGCTTAGTCATGCTGGCCACATGACCCGGAAGCTGTACGCCGGCTCCCTCAGCCAGTAAAGCGAGATGAGCGCCGCAACCCCAGAGTCGGCCACGACTGGACCTAATGGTCAGGGGTCCCTTTACCTTTACCTTTATGTTCAAGAGTATAAGGGACACAGATGGCGCTGTGGTCTAAACCACTGAGCCTCTTGGGCTTGTCAATCAGAAGGTCAGCGGTTTGAATCCCTGCAACAGGATGAGCTCCCGTTGCTCGGTCCCAGCTCCTGCCAACCTAGCAGCTCGAAAGCACGCCAAAAAGTGCAAGCAGATAAATAGGTACTGCTCTGGCAGGAAGGTAAACGGCGTTTCCATGTGCTACTCTGGTTTTGGTGTTCCATTGTGCTAGAAACGGCTTAGTCATGCTGGCCACATGACCCGGTAAAACTGTCTGCGGACAAACGCTGGCTCCCTCGGCCTATAAAGCAAGCTGAGTGCCACAACCCCAAAGTTGTCAGCGACTGGACTTAACTGTCAGGGGTCCTTTACCTTTATGTCTAGAGTAGAGAATTACAGGAGGCAATCCGACATGCTGTGTGTGTCCCCACCCCCTTCATAACTAGGAACAGTTTCCTGGGAAGCAAATTAGTTTAAACACATTATGAACCTCTGACAGCACAATGAAAAGTTAACCCTCCTACTGCCCTGGACAAGGCCTGTTTCACGTGCATTCAGTTTCTGCCTTCGTACTTTGCTGCATGTAATTAGATGAGAAGATAGCCTGAAGGCTTCAAACAAATTGGTGGCTGATGGGATCATCTGGGCCCATATTAGACCAAAAATTCCCCTCCAAAATCAAAGGCTGGCAGAATCATGTCAGGTGATTCATTCTTGTAATGAGAATTTGTGGCTTCATCAGATGTTTGGCTCCTGGAATAGACAGGATATTGGAATGAGATGACTGATCCTGCCCAGCATGGATGACAGTGGCTGCTCCTTCCCTCAGAAGCTGTTTGCTAACCTGTGTGCTTGCCACTTCCTTATAGCCCTGCTCAATGAGTCTATACTAAATGCTTTTGTGTTGCACTATAGTCTCTGAAGGTCCTCCTTTGATCAGAGATCCTCCAACCTCTCTACACCATGGGTCAGAGAACTGGGCTTTCCCTTTGGGAAGCTGAGAAACCCACCCAAGATGACCCTGCTTTGTGTGATATAGAAATGTCGGCTCTCTCCAGACAAGGAGACATAGAGGTGCCTCGAGAAAAAGGTAGGGGGAGGGGCAACAGGAATTGCACAGAAGGCCAAACTGGGGTGAAGAAGGCCTGGGAGAGTGACATGAAGGGAATGAGAGATGGCGAGAGAGAGAAGGCAAATAACATCTTGGGAATGCAAGTCTGCATACACACCATACATTTAAAGCACATGACTTTCTGCAAAGAGTCCTAGGAACTGTGGTTAAGGGTGCTGCTCTTTGTGAGAGTAAACTATAGTTCCCAGGATTATTGGGAAGAGTGAGTCATGTACTTTAAATGTGGTTTAAATATATAGTGTGTATGCAACCTAAGAGGATTGATGGGTATAGTGGGACAAAGCTGGGCAACAGGACTGGGCCCGGCTCTACCTCAGGTGGTAGATGCTGTTGGGTGGCAAACAGCGGAGTGCTATTGGAGGACTGAGCTGTGTGTGCCACGCAGTCTGCTTGCGTCTCCTTACACTACCCTGATGTGGTGGGGAATGCTGTCCCATTGGCCGTGTTCCAGTGAGGTGCACCTGCCAGTTCTGTTGGCTTCTGTGGGTGGAATGGGTGGGCGTGCACACCATTTGTCCTTTGCCTCAGGCAGCAAAATATTTTGGGCCTTTTCCTGCACAGGATTGCCCACTCAAACCTTCTTGGGGCTGTTTCTTATTTTAGAGCCAGTTCTCAAAGCATGGGGCACAGTGCCCCTGCATGGTGACTTGAGAAGCTTGGAACCAATGGACATATAGGATCACAGCCATTTTGTCCATCATCACACAGCACCAGATTGAAGGTGGCCAGTTCCCCCGCACAGGGTGCTGAGCCAAGGGGGCAGAAAATTGAGAAGATCCATAATTGAGAAGATCCAGCAGAGGGAGAGCTGAGGCAAGACAGCCCACTCCACCTGCTCCATTGGTTCAGTTGAAAGAGCAGTTGCCATTGGGGTCCTCTCATCTCTGAATTGTCTGTTCATGCTGTTCACTGTGAGAGCATCTATGCTTGCTTTGTCATCATCTATGGCCCGGGGATTAATAGCCAATTTTCCTCTCAGTTTCCTCCATCCCTGCTTTACTAAAATCTCTCTGTCGTTTCGAACCACTGCTTTCCCCCTCTCGGTGTATCTCATTTCTGGTTCCCGTTTCATGGCTACTGCTGTTGTGCAACAGGCCTTTATTATTGCTCGTGGATTTAAAAGCCCAGAGGGTGTTGCCGTCTGTTCCTTTGACTACAT